TTTCCTTCCTGGCTCTTCGGTGTGTCTGCCCTGCTCATAGCAAGTTTCTCTCTGAGCCTGAATGTCCAGATGCAGTCTGTGATTCTCCAAGTCAGTGTATCTACTGCAATTTAGCCCCTGCTCACAAAATTTGATTCACTGGAGTCTATTTTACATGCGTGGCACATTGAATGACTAATTCAGAGCTGAGTTAATTCTGTACAGAGGTTGGTAGAGTCACAATTGCAGACTGAGAGCGTGTTGGTACTACATGATATTGCAGGCTAAATTAGGTGCATTGACTCAAAAGGTAACAGATCATTACAAAGAAAACATGAGCCCTGGAAACAATTGCTCTCTGTGAGGCATTTCTGATCCTGCAGTGTAACCTCTGGCACTGGAGTGCTCTCTCTGTACCTCACATTTTATTCCTTCATTTTCAGTGACCAATGGCTTTGTCATCAAAGAGCTTGCCTCAAATTATTTTAAAACCTATTACTGACAGGAATTTACGGCGTATCTACATCATGCAATGTAACACAGAGCTATCTGCACTAACAGCAAAGGAATTGGCTTGTTTAGACTGTCAGGAGCACAGCTATGTTGTTGTTTCCAGGAAGTGGCTCCAGTAAAGCGTAGAGGTCTGTGAGTGCCTTCACATCACACATTATTATGCAACACAGATGCACTCTTTGGGTCCATAGTGAAATCTTCCTCAACCTCCCTTCTTCAGTGCATTCAAAGCACTGCTGCTAAAGTCATTTCCTTTCCCATCCCTCCAGTCAGAGGCTGTCTTGCCCTGGTCCTGCAGCAAACATCACTTGGTCTCAGGTACTGAAGGTCCTAGGGATGCTCGAAGGGACCGACCACTTTTGGGCTGGGGGAACACTGCGATTGTCTGCTCATCAACTCTTCTGGAGTGCCCAATTCTGCTCTGGTCCCCAGCTGCTGCCTGGGTGTGATTAAGCATCCCACAGCGTGTTTCCACTGCTTGTTTTCCATGAAAGCTCACAGTCCTGCACAGCTCTTCTGCCAACTCCACTTGCCGTTCTTTCCTTCACTTTCATGGCCCTTGCTGCACCTCCCTTTGTGCCTCTGGTCCCACGCCTCAGCCCCTGCCCTGACACGCTCTGCCCCCTCCCTTCTCACACTCTTCTGGGGAATGACCCTTTCTCTGGGAACTCCTGCCTCCTCCTCTTCTTCAGTCATTCCCTTTGGTTTCACCCTTTTCCCTGAGCTCTTGCTTCACATGCTTCCTCACTCATTTATCTTGTAAATTTTGATTTTTGCTACTTGCTGCCAAATCTCCATGGGAATTAAATGAATGAAACAGATATTTATTAGCACAGGGGGAGAGATGGGAAGAAAGAAGAGGACATGGAGGGAGGGAAATGGCAGGGCTGCTCTCAAAGCAGAGTGATCCTCCTTTGACAGTCGCGGGATTCCAGTTGGGATTTCTGGTTCCATAGGCTGCCCGAGCAGCTCACCCTGCCTCTGCAAACACGTCCCCCCCCTGCTGCCTCTCCTGCTGCAGGGGTCCCCACCTCTTGTCAAGTATCAGACACAGAAGGGTGCAATAAGTGTGGGGGCAGGAATTCTCTGCTTAAGATACCAACAGGCATTGGAAGCAGCACAGATGATGTTCAGCTGCTGGGCAGTGGCATCTGCAAGAACAATAGTTCCAAACATTTCTGGACAAAGATGGATGAAAGAATCTGTCATGCTGCATCTGCTCATCACAGGTATTTCTTCACTCACTGAAGTCCTTAACTGTAGGCCAAAGAATGGATGGAGCATGTCTGCTTCTCCAGCCACCTTTACCGAAGTACCCACAAAATGGTTGCATCTACAGCAGCATGGAGCAGTACAGAACACAGCACAGCAGCCTTAGCACTAAATGGCAACTCTGAGACTGGAACAAGATAAAATGATCATATCCATCTAAGCCACAATGTTTTAAATTCCACACTGTGTAACATATACATTGATATGTTTGTATTGGATGATGCATTTCTGACATAAAATTTTCATCAACACGGAAGAAGAGCTCAATGGGCTCAAAGGGCTCAACTGTTACAACCATGATCGATGCAGCCAGTGCGTTCTCTTCTCTTTTGTGGCCATCCTCCAAAAACAAGCAGCCTTGCCTGATGAATCATTTGCTCTTAGCTGAGTATGAAGTAGCATTACTTTTTTGCCTGTGACATCTTTATGTTAAAGATTCTGATCAACTGCTTTAATCGATCTGACCTTTCTGCTCTCAGCTTTTCTTGTGGAGCCAGCAAACCCTGCTGGCTCCAACTGTTAATTCTAGAGGGTTTGAAGGACATAACACAGTGAGACAGCTGAGATAGGGTAAATTGTCTAGCACAGCTAGAAGTTAGAAGGGGAGGTTTCACTGAATAGAGGAGAGGGGTGGTCAGCAGGGACAGGGAGGTGATTGTCCCTCTCTACTCGGCTCTTGTGAGGCCCCATCTGGAGTACTGTGTCCAGGTGTGGAGCCCTCAGTACAAGAAAGACATTGAGATTTTGGAAAGGGTCCAGAGGAGGGCAACTAAGATGATCAGGGGGCTGGAGCACCTCCCCTATGAGGACAGGCTGAGGGAGTTGGGCTTGTTCAGCCTGGAGAAGAGAAGGCTGTGGGGTGACCTCATTGCAGCCTATCAATACCTGAAGGGAACCTACACCCACGAGGGGAGTAAACTCTTCAAAAGGGCTGACAACAGCAGGACTAGGGGAAATGGATCCAAGTTGAGGGAGGGAAGATTGAGGTTGGATGTTAGGGGGAAGTTCTTTACAAGGAGAGTGGTTAGGCCCTGGAACGGGCTGCCCAGGGAGGTTGTGGATGCCCCGTCCTTGGATGTGTTTAAGGCCAGGTTGGACAGGGTCCTGGGCAACCTGATCTGAATGTGTGTGTTTGGTGGCCCTGCTAGGCAGGGGGGTTGGAACTACATGATCCTTGAGGTCCCTTCCAACCCGGGTGATTCTGTGATTCTGTGATTCTGTGATTCTGTGAATAGGTCAGTAACTGTGCAGGTTGCAAAGGGAAGCTTTCCACACATTGTCTTGATTGCTGCCTTTGCACTGTCTATTCTGGACAGGAGGATTTGCAATCTTCAAGTCAGCTTCTCAGAGAAAAGCTTGACAGACGTGCCACGTTTTATATATGAGTTTCATCACACCAACTTGGAGGGGCTGACTGCTTTAAAATGTTGGCTTACTGATAATGACAAAAGGTGAGCTCCCAGCAACAGCAGGAAAAAGCGGCTCTACTCCCTTGTGTTCACTTAACAGCCCAGCAATTGCAAACTAGGGATTGAATCTAATTCTCTAACATGTCAACCAGTCCTACAGGAAACAAAAGCATTTACTCTACATTCTCCCTGCTGAAAAATACATGGCATTTTTCATATCATTTTGCAATGTCCAATAGGACTCAGATCTCTTGTGTGTAAGGAGAAAGACATAAGCAAAAGCACAAATGTAAAACATTTGGGAGCAGGAGCTCCCTCTCCCAGCCTAAGGTCCCTACTTT